TGGCCTTGCGAGACCCATGGCACTGCCCTTTTTCTTTTTGCATAGAACTTTAAATACAACACTTAAAAATGAAAGTACCAATTTATTCTTATTTATGTCATTCCTCAGTTCATATTGCCAACATGAATTTCGGCTTCGTTACAAAAAGTGAACAATCAAAAGGTTCACTTTTAGCGAAATGTGTAGGACCAACCTCACATGTGCGCCTTCCCATGCGCCAGGTATTTTAATTTGCACATTCAGTGACCGATGGTATGGGCTCCTGCTGCGAATTAGGCTCATTTAGAGCCTCAAACTTCTTATGTACCAGGCCTGATTCATGCACTCGATACATGTCAGTCTGAAACTCCCAAACAGTGAACCGGTTCCGACACTACTGGCCCCGGTGACGTTCGACTAGTCCCTACTACCTACCCTTTTGCTACCATAGATGACACCCGGTACCGTGTTGTACTAGCCAATCCACTTACCAACTCCTACTTCTGCCTCGACTTCCCGCCTCCCCGTAGTACCTGTTGGTAGCCGAAGCACATCCACTATCTTGGACCCTCCTCTTTCAGACATATATAGTATATACAGCCCGGTTTACTACTACACTAGTACCGGGGTTGATCTCCCTACTTTAATTGTACAACCCAGTCGTAAATGGGGACCTATCAGCAGAAGGTTTGCCCCATCCCGTTCGCATGTTACTCCTGGGTATCTAAAATATGGTACATGGCTGCTTGTATACCTCCCTCAGTCCCTCCCCCTTCACCACCAGTTTAGTCTAGCAGCTCTTTTGTTCCTCCTCGAGGGTTCTATCATTCAGTTGTCTAACCAGTTGTTCGGTCAGAGTCTCCATCGCTGCTCCAAACGAACCGGTGGCTCTGGCAAATGCCGCCAGAGCATTGGAGAAGAGCGTCGGGGGGTGCCCCCAGCGCTTTAGCTCAATGCTGATGAAGAGCGTAGCTGGGACACCCATTATGGATCACTTGCATGGTGCCTGATCCTGTGAAGCACAACAATCACCACACCTACTTTCACTCGCTTATCGGAATACGAAGAGAAGTCTTGGAAACATTTGAAGGCCAGAGGATCTTCCAGCATGGTTCCTTTGTTTTCATGTCTCGGGTGGATGGCAAACGTGATTGGGCCTGGTAAAGCTGCCGCCCTTGTTCCCAAGAAATCCCAGGAGTTGTAACCATCATCGGTTCGTACCAGCACAAGTTGCTTTCCATATGCCTCCGCAAATTCCTGACGGATAGCTTCCGTTGTCGCTATACTCCAACGGTCATACATGTCACATGCAACCGCAATCGTGACGTCATCCACCAATCTGAACCCGTGTACAAGCTTTTGATCAGCACCCAACGAGCTTATAAACTCCACCTCTTGCTTAGCACATAATATACAAGCGAGTGAGAGGCTATAATTCTTCCCCATCGGTATCCCTACAGCCTGCTTAAGGATCATTGTGCTGCACATGACGTACGTGTTGTCCAGCTCGAAGTTGACCATTCGTCGGATCTGGGTGAACTTGACCGTTACATAACCTGGTCCGAGGCTCTTTTGGTTGAGGACCACAATCTGGCCTCGTCTACTAAGACTCACCTTGGAAACACCTTTCATCTTCCACTTCTGCAGCAACCAATCAACAGCTTGGGCTATCGTACGGTGTGGAAGTGACGTGAACATCTCCTTGATGTCAAAGCTAACCATTTGGGCCATCGATTTTTCTCCGAAAATGTTGAGTCTTCGTCCAGCCATCTCCAGATTCTGCGGGCACTACGATGGCACTAGTCAGCTCGATGTGCGCGCATTCGTGTTGACGGCTGCGAGTGTGTATTTCGTTCGGCATTATATCCCCAGTGAGAACAAAAACGTGAAATGAGCAAGGGGGGGGGGTGTGTTTCGTTTTATGGACCCGCCCGCCATGGTGTGTCCCTCGGGGGTACGAGACCTGGCCATGGGGGTCGCTATCGAACAAGTCTATACGGTCCGCCCACGTGCGTTGAAACGGACTCGTTGATCATGCTGATCCGATGTAAGGAGGGTACCAGGCCACGGTACCCCTCCCTGATAGTCGAATAAATGAAAACAGGCCCAACAATTCCCTCCGTAAGAGACATCTGCTTAAATCATCGCCGCCGACGGTGCCGACCTCGTCCCCATGGAGCGCTGCGTAAATAAGCCCTTGAGCACACAAAATCATCGCTCGAATCGGCACGCTTACGGGGCAACGACAGGCAAGGGTGGGTCTACTAACGGTGACAAAATAAGTCGCCGGCCCTTACAAAGGAAATCCTGGGCCCTTTTTCGCTTAATTTCCATTACAGCTATGTATCCCCTGCTTAATTGTCGCGGGGTCAGGCTCGGAGGGCGGCCATGTTCATGGCCGCATCCGCGGCCAAGATCGGCCGCATAGCGGTCACGTTTTTCACGGATTTTTCCCGTCAAATATAAAAGGCAAAACAAAAAAAAGAGGTTGTAGGGTTTTCCAAACCCTACAACCCCATTTTTATTTTAAGGAAAGAATGAATTTAATGGAATTATAGAAAATGAAAAACTGAAAAGCTGGAGAGAAGAAATATAAAATAAAACCACGAATAAAAAGATTTTTTTTGGGGGGGGGATTTTTGGTTGGCAGTTTTTTGCATGGCTACGATCCGGACATCCGGACCCCCATCCAGACGGTCTGGATCCAGACCGGAATCCGGACGTCCGGTCTGGAAGGTCCGGATCCTAAGGAAATCGGCAAAAAAAACAAATTGGGGGGTTGGCCAGGGCCCTTCCTCACATTGTTGGCGACCCCCTAAAATTGGTCCTGGGGTTTTTGAGGGCCGTTTCGTTTTTTTTTTGGCTTCCGGACACGAGTGATCCACGGAGTCCGAACTTTTTTTCTTTTCTTTTTAACGTCTTTGTGGTTTCATTGTTCGGTCATAAGAGGCCGTTGTTTTGGCGGCCTCGTTGGGGTGGGGGCGAGCGGGAGGGGCCGACTGCATTTCGAAAGTCGCGTCGTCGGTTCCCGCCCTCACTTCGACCCGACGCGTTTGAGCTCCGAGCAAGAGAGAGAGAGAGAGAGAGAGAGAGAGAGAGAGAGAGAGAGAGAGAGAGAGAGAG